GGAAAAACCCCTCGCAGCCACTTAAATAAACTAGCATCTCACTTCCTCAAACCAAAAAAAAAAAAAATTAACAAGGGCTCATTTGTCACCAAATGTTGAGACCAAACAGGTTCCCCAAAGCAAGAATTTGGACAGCTATCTAAGGCCAGTGGGTTATGTGCTAAAAAAGCAAAAAGAATTAGAAAATAAAACAATGACCAGGATGAGACATGGATCAAGGCAGCAGTTAGGTTTCTGTTTTCTAAAGCGATCAGGCGGTGAGGAGGCAGCAAAGGGGGAATCCAGCTATTTTCAGGGCAACCCGTGCACAGCCTACCTTTTCAGACCCAATAACACACTCACAGGGCGGTATGAGAGAAAAAGAACAAAGGAAAAGAAAAGAAAGAGGAACAAGCGAAAATTAGAAACACACCGGAACAAAAACAACTTTGACAGCATGTTCAAGAATTGACGTGGGCTCTGATGAGGCCAGGGGCACGTGTGGACGGTCAGTAAACACCCCCCGCACCCTCCTACCCGTGGCTCCCGGGAAGGCTGGGCCTGCGGCTGGCGGCACCAGCCACAGAGCCTGTCCATGCACCCAGAGCGGTCCGCACTTCAGACCAAAACTCCACCTACATTTGGACATTTCCTTCTGAGGCACAAAATGCGATCCCCTTTCAGGCTGGACTCTTTCTATCACTCCTACTAGGAGCTGCGGGAGAGACTGTGGCTGTAGGCTCTGTTCCTGAACTGAATCACTGCTTTGAAAATGAGACAAGGGACACACAGGGACTGGAGGTAAATGCTTCCGCTGAGGTCGCTGGCGTCATTATCTCACCAGAGTTCACATGACGGCTGAGTGTTTATGGGGCCAGTGAGAGCCGAATGGACCCACCAGGAGGAAGGTTTCGTTCGCTGCTGACTTTCCGGCACACGGAGGCTCTGGGTAAACACCTGGGGACAGGACTGGCCACCATGAGCCAAGCACCATGTCCTGAATCGAGTTCTTCCTGCCAGACTGTGAGCAGAGGTTTCAAGAGGCAAAATAGGCATTCTCAACATTTCGGTCTGCAGACCTTTGGGTTCGCAACCTCAAGAAGGTGATGATCAAAAACGTCCCTTGGGGGCTCATGTCGCAAGGAGAAGGCAGCAGTCAAAAGGTCGGGGTCCCCAGCTTCAGTCGCTCATGCACGAGTCTGTCCTGCTGATGCCACTGGCGCTAAGATTTGGGGAACGCAGGGGCACGCGTGGCCCCACCTTGTCAGGGACCACTACCTCGGCACAGACCCGCCTGACACCTGGGGCTCAGCAGGAGTTGAGGGGCTGGTGGGAGTGGGTCTGGTGTGTCTGGGTGGGTCTGAGTGGGTCTGGGTGGGTCTGAGTGGGTCTGGGTGTGTCTGGTGGGTCTGAGTGGGTCTGAGTGGGTCCGAGTGGGTCTGGTGTGTCTGAGTGGGTCCGAGTGGGTCCAGGTGTGTCTGAGTGGGTCCGAGTGGGTCCGGGTGTGTCTGAGTGGGTCCGAGTGGGTCCGGGTGGGTCTGAGTGGGTCCGAGTGGGTCCGGGTGGGTCTGAGTGGGTCTGAGTGGGTCTGGGTGTGTCTGAGTGGGTCTGGTGTGTCTGGGTGGGTCTGAGTGGGTCTGGTGTGTCTGGGTGGGTCTGAGTGGGTCTGGGTGTGTCTGAGTGGGTCCGAGTGGGTCTGGTGTGTCTGAGTGGGTCTGAGTGGGTCTGGGTGGGTCTGGGTGTGTCTGAGTGGGTCTGAGTGCGTCTGGTGTGTCTGAGTGCGTCTGGTGTGTCTGAGTGGGTCTGAGTGCGTCTGGTGTGTCTGAGTGCGTCTGGTGTGTCTGAGTGGGTCTGAGTGGGTCTGGTGTGTCTGAGTGGGTCTGAGTGGTTCTGGGTGGGTCTGAGTGCGTCTGAGTGGGTCTGAGTGCATCTGGTGTGTCTGAGTGGGTCTGAGTGGGTCTGGTGTGTCTGAGTGGGTCTGAGTGGGTCTGAGTGGGTCCGAGTGGGTCTGGTGTGTCTGAGTGGGTCTGAGTGGGTCTGAGTGCATCTGGTGGGTCTGAGTGGGCCTGAGTGGGTCTGGGTGGGTCTGGTGTGTCTGGGTGGGTCTGGTGTGTCTGAGTGGGTCTGAGTGGGTCTGGGTGGGTCTGGGTGGGTCTGGTGTGTCTGAGTGGGTCTGGGTGGGTGTGAGTGCATCTGGTGTGTCTGAGTGCATCTGAGTGGGTCTGAGTGCATCTGGTGTGTCTGAGTGGGTCTGAGTGCGTCTGGTGTGTCTGAGTGGGTCTGAGTGGGTCTGGTGCGTCTGAGTGGGTCTGAGTGAGTCTGAGTGGGTCCGAGTGGGTCTGATGTGTCTGAGTGGGTCTGAGTGGGTCCGATTGGGTCTGGTGTGTCTGAGTGCATCTGAGTGGGTCTGAGTGGGTCTGAGTGGGTCTGGTGTGTCTGAATGGGTCTGAGTGGGTCTGGTGTGTCTGAGTGGGTCTGAGTGGGTCTGGTGCGTCTGAGTGGGTCTGAGTGAGTCTGAGTGGGTCCGAGTGGGTCTGATGTGTCTGAGTGGGTCCGAGTGGGTCTGATGTGTCTGAGTGGGTCTGGGTGGGTCTGGGTGGGTCTGGTGTGTCTGAGTGGGTCCGAGTGGGTCTGGTGTGTCTGAGTGGGTCCGAGTGGGTCTGGTGTGTCTGAGTGCATCTGAGTGGGTCTGAGTGGGTCTGAGTGGGTCTGGTGTGTCTGAATGGGTCTGAGTGGGTCTGGTGTGTCTGAGTGGGTCTGAGTGGGTCTGGTGTGTCTGAGTGGGTCTGAGTGAGTCTGAGTGGGTCCGAGTGGGTCTGATGTGTCTGAGTGGGTCTGGGTGGGTCCGAGTGGGTCTGATGTGTCTGAGTGGGTCCGAGTGGGTCTGGTGTGTCTGAGTGGGTCTGAGTGGGTCTGGTGTGTCTGAGTGGGTCCGAGTGGGTCTGGGTGGGTCTGGTGTGTCTGAGTGGGTCTGAGTGGGTCTGGGTGGGTCTGGTGTGTCTGAGTGGGTCTGAGTGGGTCTGGGTGGGTCTGGTGTGTCTGAGTGGGTCCGAGTGGGTCTGAGTGGGTCTGGGTGGGTCTGGTGTGTCTGAGTGGGTCTGAGTGGGTCTGGGTGGGTCTGGTGTGTCTGAGTGGGTCTGAGTGGGTCTGGGTGGGTCTGGTGTGTCTGAGTGGGTCCGAGTGGGTCTGAGTGGGTCTGGGTGGGTCTGGTGTGTCTGAGTGGGTCTGAGTGGGTCTGAGTGGGTCTGGGTGGGTCTGATGTGTCTGAGTGGGTCCGAGTGGGTCTGGTGTGTCTGAGTGGGTCTGAGTGGGTCTGATGTGTCTGAGTGGGTCTGAGTGGGTCTGGGTGGGTCTGGTGTGTCTGAGTGGGTCCGAGTGGGTCTGGTGTGTCTGAGTGGGTCTGAGTGGGTCTGGGTGGGTCTGGTGTGTCTGGGTGGGTCTGGTGTGTCTGAGTGGGTCTGAGTGGGTCTGAGTGGGTCTGAGTGGGTCTGGGTGGGTCTGATGTGTCTGAGTGGGTCCGAGTGGGTCTGGTGTGTCTGAGTGGGTCTGAGTGGGTCCGAGTGGGTCTGGTGTGTCTGAGTGGGTCTGAGTGGGTCTGGGTGGGTCTGGGTGGGTCTGGTGGGTCTGGTGCGGGCAGCTCTTCCCCTCAGTGGTGCCCAGACTCCTAAACCTTGCCACCTGGGCTGCAAGGAGCAGGAGGGCAGGGCAGGCGTGGTGATCACAAGGTCATGTGAGCAGCAAGTACAGGCTGTGGGTGTGACACGCCCTGCCCTTCCTGAGGCCACACACAGTGTCCAGGTCAGGAGGGAGACCTCTCCAGACCCTGCCAGGCACCAGCTCCAGGGGTGGCTCAGGGCCTCTGTGCCTCTCCCCGCAGGGCAGGCCTGGACTTCTTCCCTCGGGTCTCTGACATCTTTTCCTCTAACTTATCAACAACCAGAAAGTCGGGTTCGACCTCAGTGAACTCAGGAAACCCTGAGCACCTACTCTGCAGCGGACAGGGCGGCACCCACACCACGTCCTCCGCCCTCGCCTGCGGGACCAGCAAGAGAGCTCTGCAGAGGACCGGAGAGGCTCAGCGCCCCAGGCGGCAGTGCTCCCGCCAGCGAGGGGACGTCCCTGCTCTCTTCTGCGGGAGGGTCGCGGGGAAACAGAGCAGAGGGCCAGCAGGGCCCCGCAGAGCTCGTCTGCGGTTCTGATGCCTGCATCACGGGGCTAACGTGAGGACTGAGCGGTCCCTGTGGCACAGAGACCATGAACTGCTGTTCTCTGCACCAGGAGCTTTTTTAGGAGTCTCTGCAGCGGTTCTGATATCCTAAGTGGGGGCCCTGGCGCCAGGGCATCTGGCAGGAGGAGGGGCCTGGCCAGGCAGGCAGGAGGCACAGGCCCACTCCAGCCCAGCAGGCTGGAGTTCTGCTGCCTCTGGGCCTCAGCACCCCATCTACACATGAAAGGGGTGAGGCTGAACAGCAGTCTTCACAATGTGCCCTGGGGCAGCGCTGTCCAATAGGAGTAAGACGCAAACCACGTGACTTAAGCTGTCCAGTTGCCACATTTAAAAAGGTAAAAAACAAATCCTTGCAACTGATTTCAATAATGTCCTTTGTTCGATCTCATATATGTAAAATGTTATCATTCTGACGTCCAATAAATCAAAAAAAAAAAAAAAACCACACTAAGATAGCCCGCACTCTTCTTCCCAGACTGAGTCTCAGCGCCTGTCCTGCCTTTTACCCGCAGCGCACCTTGTTTCAGCTTCCTCTGCCTCCCCAGTGACAGTGGCTACCCTCTGGACGGCCGCTCCAGGGCTCCCACCTGGGGGTCTGGGCTGAAAAGGGGCAGGTAATTGTCACACGAACCCTAAAAGGATCTCCCCCAACCAAAGTCTGTTCCACTCAATTTCAGAAAGTCTGCACCCTTTCTAAACTTTAGAAAGGGCTGCACCCTTCCCCCGCCACCACTGCAGGAAACCCTCCTGCTTGCTCATCCCTTTTTGAAGCCTAGGCTCCAGGCCGACTTACCTACTGTCTGTGTCCAGCCCCACGAAGTCCTTCTTCTCGAAGGGGACGCAGAGGAGAGGGATCTTGTCCCCGGACTTGTCCGTGGCCCTGTCCAGGCGCTTGGACTCGAGCACGATGAAGAGCGACTCCACGAAGTCCTCGATGCGCTTCTCCACCGTCGCGCAGTCCTCGTAGCTGGGGTAGAAGGCCACGTCGGTGCGCGGCTGCTCCGCGATCTCCCCTTGCAGCCCGAACACGAAGAGGCGGGAGTCGTACAGCGTGGAGCCGTAGATCTCCTTCTGCATGTGGAACTTCTCGAAGGTCTGTGGCCACTCCTTAGCTGAGAAACAGTCAGTGATGGTGATGAGGCCCACGACCTTGCGGTGGGTCTGGAAGTCGCCCCATTCGCTGTTCTCGGGCGGGTAGTGGTGCCGGTAGCGGATGTAAAGCGCGCGCTGCGAGTCACGCACGCTGATCTGGCTCACCGACGAGATCCTCTTGTAGATCCTGAAGAAGTTCTCCTCCGAGACGATCCCCACGGGCTGGACCACCACGAGGAGAGTCTGGTGGTCCTCGGCGCACTGCATGTAGTCAGGGACACTCATGGTGAAGACCCTGCCCAGAGAGAAGAAGGGGTTTTGCAGGTTGCAGCCCACTCTGGGACGCTGTCATGCCGGTGTCCCCCAGCTGGAAGGCTGGGTGAGCCCCGAGCCAAGCGGTGGGGTACCGTTTGTCCTTGGGGGTTCTGCGTGCGCCTACCATAGCTCCTATCACAGCACCCTGCTCCTGGAGCAAGCTTGGAGCCCCTGCAGTTTATAAGGAGCCTCTCAGGTTTTCTATTCCCAGTACCTCACCAGACACTGATGTGGAGTCAGTGCTCAAGGAAGGCTGAATAAATGAAGGAAGGAAGGAAGGAAGTGCTTCCTCAGCCTCTCAGCAGAAATAATAAAGGTTCCACAGTGGAATCAGAAGACCAGGACTCTACTGCAGGCCACCTGAGCTCCTGAGCTGAAAACTAATGGGGGTAATATAAAAAACTTGCCTTCTAAGAAGATAGCTGGATTAAGGAAGGCTGCAAAGTGCCAAGCACAGTGTGAGATAGAAGGAGGAACTACACGCCATTACCATCCCTCATTTTATGAACCGAGTTTCCTTGGGAGAGTTTTTATAACCTCGCTGTGCCAATTTTGTCAGATATAAAAAGAAAATAGCATCAACTATACTCCAGTAATTTTTTTTTAAAGAGGAAGAAAACAATATTACCTGATTCTCAGTCCTGTTGAGGAATTCAGTTAGATAACCCACACAAAAGCATCTGGCCCATAGGAGTTAATAAATGTTTGTTAAATGAATGGACAAACAAGCAGATGAATGCTGCCACATCCACAGAGCATCATAATAGCACTGCCTGGAAATCTGAAGCCCTGTTCCACCCCGACTCCACACTAGCCATGTCAGTGACCCAGACAGGCCTGTGTGCTTCTCTAAACCCAAGTTTAATCATGAATAAAAATATGGATAATAAGACAAACCTCAAAGGATTAGTGAGTCAATATTCTGGTTTCAATATTGTACTGTAACTTTGCAAGATGGTTGTTGTTCAGTCGCTAGGTCGTGTCTGACTCCCTGCAACTGCATGGACTGCAGCACGCCAAGCTTCCCTGTCCTTCACTGTCTCCCAGAGTTTGCTCAAATTCATGTCCATTGAGTCAATGATGCCATTCAACCATCTCATCCTCTGCAAGACAGTACCATTAAGGGAAATTGGGCAAAGGGTCCACAAGCTCTCTCAACATTCACACTGTTATGCAACCATCTCCAGAATGTTTTCACCTTTGCCAACTGAAGCTCTGTCCCCATTAAACACTAATTCCCATCCCTTCACCCCCAGTCCCAGTCCCACCATCTATTTTCTGCCTCTATGAGTCTAGAGGCACGTCAACTCAGTGGAACCATGCTGTGACTGGCTCATTTCACTTAGCACAATGTCTTCAAGGTTCATCCGTGTTGTAGCATGTATCAGAATTTCCTTATTTAATGCTGAATAATATTCCCTGCAATATTACATATATTTATGTATAAAGGTATATAACACATTTTATTTTTTCATTCATTGAAGGTCATTTGGGTTGTTTCTAGCTTTGGCTACTATGAATAATAGTATTATAAATACAGACAAAATGTTTTAAGTATAAAACCCACCACGTTTGCAAAGATGTAGATATATATGTAGATGCAAAGGTAACTCCTATTTGACAGGTGGGCGTGTAGACTGGTACATCCTGGGCCCAGCAACTGCCCTGACAGAGGAGCTCTGGCATATGGTGGGCAGGTTTACAGAAGCAAGAACTGGAGAAAACAAAGCTGTCCACTATCAGCAGGATGGGTAAGTAAACTGTGGTCTTTTAACACAATGGAATACTTCGAACAGTGAAAATGAACGACCTAGAGGAACAAAGATGAGTCTCAAAAACATGATGGGCGAACAAAGCAGGTTATGGATTAACACAAGCAGCACCATTCCACTTACGTAAAGTTTAACAGGCAACACTAAATAATATGTTGTTTACACATATGGTAAAATTATAAAGAAAAAGATAAATCTGGACAGTGGTTACTTGGGTGGCAAAGAGGATGCAGTTTGAAAGCAAAGCCACGGGGCCACAGAAGTAGCAGCTGTGTTCTGTCTCTTAAGCTGGATGGCAGACCCAGGGGTGCTCGTCTTGCCCTTCTTTAAACTGTACATAAACATCAAACGTTTCACAGAAGAGTTAAAAAAGGAAGAAGATCCTGTTGGGAGGGAGGTTCAAGAGGGAGGGGACATCTATACCTGTGGCTGATTCATATTGATGTATGGCAGAAACCAACACAATCTTGTAAAGCAATTATCCTTCAATTCAAAGTAAATAAAATTTTCTTAAAAAGGAAGAAGATCCAACTTCAAAAAGCTTACAAGGTGGGTCTCAGCAGGTTGGCTGGTTTCAGGGCCTAGCCCCAGCCCTTCTCCTCTATCAGGAGATGATGCTGCTGATCCCAAAACACCCTGCTTCTATGAGCAAAGAAGTTGCTGCACAAAAAAGGCACGTGAGTTACAGGTGCAGATATGCCTGAAGACAGGTGGCCTGTGGATCTCAGACAGTTTGAGGATAGGAGGTGTTCAATTTCTCTGGTCTGAAGTAAAATGAGAAAAATACAAATAATATTTAAGTGTTCCACAAAACTAAAGTAAACTTAGTATGTGTCTTATAAATGTTAACTATTATTGTTATTTATTCTTAGATTTGGAGAAGAAAATGGCAACACACTCCAGGATTCTTGCCTGGAGAATCCTATGTGACCCCAGGGTCACAAAGAGTCGGACACGACTGAGCAACTAAGCACATTCTTAGGTTATGAATTTCTCATTTTTTTGCTGTTAAAACATTCTTTTTTGGGGGAAGTGGGGGGACTTCCCTAGTGATCCAGTAGTTAAGACTCCTCGCTTCCAAGGCAGGGGGTGCGGGTCTGATCCCTGGTTACGGAACTAAGATCCCATTTGCCTCGGGCTGCAGCCAAAAAAAAAAGTTCTAATTATTTTTTTCTTTTTTTTTTTCAAAATGGCCAAGCCACTCGACTTTATAGGATCTTAGTTCCCCAGCCTGAAACTGAACCTGGGCCATGGCAGTGAAAGCACTGAGCCTTAACCACTGGACAACCAAAGAACTCCCAAACCTTCTTGCTTTTATAAAACAATAGTGAGAGTAGATGGCAGCAATTTTCCATCATACTATCTGGGCAAAAATAAAAATTGAGAAACGTTTTCCCTGAAGGAGCTCACTATCACCATAGTTCTGGTTCACCTTTGCCCCGGATTAAAAATATGCAACTTGGAGAAGGAAATGGCAACCCACTCCAGTATTCTTGCCTGGAAAAATCCATGGACAGAGGAGTCTGGCGGGCTGAAGTCCATGGGATTACATGACTGAGCATGTGTGCACGAGGGTGGAGGGAGATGAGTTGGTAGCAATAAACTGGTAGAACTAAAAAAAAAAAATATATGCAACTAACACTGGAATAAATGTCTCATATAAGGTAGGAATAGGAAATTGCACTAAGCACTTTACAATCTATCATATCATATTCAGACTTCACAACAATCTAAGAAACAGCATTCCTATCTTCAACCTTACAGATAAAGAACCAAGCTCAGTCATTTGCTCAAGGTCTTCTAATCTGTAAGTGGCAAACTGGCTCCAGAGTCGATGCTTTCCCACTAGTTTCTTCAAGGGAGAAAGAATCTAATGAAATGAGCCCTGGCATTGAGCCATCTCTGGTGTCTGAGACTCCAGCTCAGTCCAGTCGCTCAGTCGTGTCCGACTCTTTGCAACCCCTTGGACTGCAGCATGCCAGGCTTCCCTGTCCATCACCAATTAGTCTGAGACTAATCTAATATGAATATTAAAATGTTAAGAATATATTTCTTCAGGGACTTTCCTGATGGTCCAGTAGCTATGACTCTGCACTCCCATTGCAGGGAGCCTGGGTCTAATCCCTAGTTGGGGAATTAGATCCCACATGCCGCAACCAAGAGCTCCACACTGTAACTCAAGATCATGCTGCAAGGAAGATCAAGGATTCCACACACGGCAACTAAGACCCAGTGCAGCCAAATAAATAAATAAATATTTATTTTAAAAAAGAATATATTTCTTCAACTTGGTATTTCCTCGAAAAGTTAAACATAGAGTTACCACATAAACAGCAGTTCTACTCCTAGTTATATACCAAAGATTGAAAACACACGTCCACACAAAAAGTAGTACACGAACATTCATGGCAGTACTATTCGTAATAGCCAAAAAGTGGAAACAACAGAGACATCTATCACCTGATAAATGGATAAACAAAATGCAGTCTATCCATATAATAGAATACTACTCAGCCATAAACAGTACTGTCACTGCTACAACATGGGTGAACCCTGAAAACACTATGCTCAGTGAAAGAAGCCAGGCACAAAAGACCACATATTGCATGATTCTATTTACATGAAATGCCCCAAACATGCAACTCCTTGGAGACAGACAGTAAATTTGTGGCTGTTCCGGGTGCAGGGGGGAGACTGACAAGGGGTATGGAATTTCTATATGAAGTGATGAAAATGGTCTGGATTAATAATGGTTGCACAACTGGGAATACACTGAAAACCACTTAAGTGTACAATTTAAATGGGCACACTACCGTATGTGAATATTCTCTCAATAAAGCTGTTACTTGATAAAATATTTCTTAACTATTTTTCCCTCTATTCCACTTGACAGCCCCACAATTTAAGAAAAAACCTTGCCAAGGGATCTTTAAGGATTGCGAGACGCCTGGTTCTCCAGCATCAGGTCTCTAGTGCTGTTATTTCATACTAGGGAACACCAGCTGGGCCGGACTAGGAAGAGACGGTAACTACCTTCTAAAAGTCGCCAGTTGCCTTTAAACTGGGTGGGGAGGAGCAAAGAGGGAGGAGGAGGTCACAGCCTCTTGCCTTCGGCTCATTTTTAACTAACCCGAGCCTACCTTCGGCACTATGGATCCCTCTGTAAGAACAAGTGGAATCCACAGGCATCCCACCCTG